CATCAAATACACATAAATAATTTGGGACAGAAAGATGGAAGCAAAATACAACAAACATCAGTTTATTCCCTGTCAAAATGTCGGCTTATCATTGCGTAGACACGGTTTGGGAATGTTTTTCACCATGAAGCAAATTTATAAGCAACATATACAATTTCTAATTCCTCTTTTCAAAGATATCACAGATATTAATATTTGAAATTAAAAACTTTCATCCAAGAATGGTGAAATGGAACCATGTAAGCAAATGATTGATGACAGTCTGGATACAGACAGACTTTGGGTGCAATCTAGATGACCGTGTTGAGACACTAGATAACCAATGATTCTGAAGAGGTTCTGAAGGATTATTCAGTTCATTCGTTTTACAAATATTCGTTGGGCCATAGTATGTGCCAGGTACTGTGCTAGCTGTTAGGGATACCAAAAGGAGCAAGATATAGCCTCTGCCCTCACGGAAGTTTCAGTTTTATGGAGGAGAGAGAAGTCAACAGGCAGTTCCAGCTTGGGGTGATGGTGCAGTGAGGCATGTGTAGATGCTTCAAATTTCTTAGCAGAAGCCTCTGCTGAACATGGCATCAGTAGCCCAATGAATGCCCTGAAGCAGTCATAGGTCAGCGGAGGAAAAGTGCTGTCACGATGCCACAAAGTGTGCCATAGACACGAATAGCGAAGCCACAGGCTAGCATGGAGACATGAGCTATACCACAGGACAAGGAGAAAACCTCTCTGAACCCTGACAAAAGAGCTGGCAGAGAAGCCAGGGTCTATGTCTGGAGAATACTCTTGACACGACTCAGTTTGGCTGGTCCCACGGAGATCTGCTGGTTAGTGTTAGAACTGAGATTACAACTCGCCCACAGCATTTCCTGTTCATCCAACTCACTCATTTTTCACTCAAACGTAAGTTCCAGGAAGGCAGGGATTTTTGTTGGTTTTGATCTTCACTGTATCCCCAGCTCTTAGAACGGTGTCTGACACAAAGGAGGCCGTCGCTAAATATTTATTCAATGAATGAATGAATTCACTGAACTCATATCAAATGACTGCAGAGGTGGGTGCCTGAAGCAGAGGAACAGAATAATGAAAAAGGCAGGAAACATGGTGAGGCTTCTGTGGCTACCGAAAAGTTTTAGAATCGACAAATGACCTTTGCATAGGGGCTTGAATCTGCAGTGGCTTCTTTGTGTCATGTCGAGTACAAGAAAGACCATGGGCTTTGAAGTCTGACAGATGTGGGTTCAAATCCTGGCTCCTCCAGATCTGGGATGACCTTGGGCAAGTTACATACCCACCCTGAGTCAGTTTCCTCGTCTATAAAATGGGATTCATACCTCCAGGGTGGCTGTAAAGGTTAAACGGAAAAAAACATCCACAGCTCTGGACCCAGTTCCCTATGCCCTCACCCCATCCTTCCAGCCCCAGAGATGGGGCTGTGCAGAGGTCTGGTAGAGCTGTGGACCCCTGGTTCCCTGGGTATCCATCCTGGAGTGCTTCTTGGGTGTTCTTTTCTATTTCTCTTAACCCCTTCTCTCTTTCCAGGAAGCTTCTCCAAGACACCTTCCTTGCCCTCTCGAAAGTGCACAGTAAAAAGGGTAAGCCCTCTTCCTCACCCTTTCAGCCCCTTACTTTTGGTTCCAACAGTTTATGGTTCAAATAACAGATGTCACTGAACAGTTAACTTGGGTAGATGCCTTTTCGTCCTTTCTAAAATGTTTGCTCCTTACTTGGTACCCTAGTAGCTAACACAGTGCCTTGATTCTTCATAAATGCTACTCACGTAACCCTCACTTCCTAGACTCATCATACCTCAGGTCATAAAAGCTGTTTTACACAAGCGGATGTACCACCTTATGAAACTTCACAATTATGCAGTGGGGTCACAGATCGTTATAACAATTCTCCGGAAGCCAATAAAATTGACTATGTCAGAAACTCCATACCTAATTTCAAAAACAATGAAATATTTTCTTCATGTTGTGGGGATTGTAAAATGGCCCAAAAACCTATCAAGTAAATAGGATCTGCCTGGAGGATTGCCCATGGTGCGTTATAAGGATGAAGATGAGTGAAATTCTTTACTAATTCACGTTTGCTGATCAGAGGAAACACTTGGGGGCTCATTATTGGTTTCTTCATGTGTCTTAGTCTTTACATCATGAAGCCACAAAGGTATCCTCTTATTGCCTGTAGCAGGATGCAAGATTTAATTCCTATCGGTTAACATTTATTAACGCACCCACTAGAAGGCAAATCTAGTAAGGACTGCATCACTCAATAGAAAATTCTGGTAATTTCTAGCCACAGTGGTATCTGCTTACCATATCATTAATTAGGTTATTGCCAGCTAATCTGACTTGGTCTTTAAGATGTCCAAAACAGTCACACCCTAGCAAGGTGATCTAGTTAAAAAGATCATTGACTAATAGTATTTCTAGAGCTTCTACTCAGTGCTAAGCAAAATCCCATGTAATAGGTTGGGAGCTAGCAATCTGTGTTTTTAACAAGCCTTCCATGTCATTTTGCTGCACGTTAAAGTTTGAGAAACACCTCTTTTTTTTTTTTTTTTTTTGAGAAACACTGCTTTAAGTCAACTAAGCAAGTTCAAATCAACATCATACCAACGGATTACACATGTGATGAATAATGGTGCGGGCCTGCTGTCAATCAGAGCTTCCTTAATGATCTCTCTTTGAAGGTACTGGGGGATTCAGATTCAAAGTGAAAAGCAGTTTAACACAGAGTCAGTTCTTGATTATCTTAATTACATCGTTTGAATTATTAGTGGCAACTTCGCACAATTCCAGGCTTATTTGCCCGATTCAGCCAAAATACTTTCAGACTACATAAGACAAGCTGAATCGGCCTCAGAATGGTTGGCGATATATAAGGCCAAATGTTGAAGACTTTTACTGATTCCTGGATTAACGTGTATAATCAAGAGTTTTCAAACTGGACGGGTCACAAGAGGTAAAATCACACGAGTCTAGTGCAACCCTTTCCCCTGATAGTCTAGCATATGGGCAGTTTGGGAGCACTGTGAACACAAACTTCATGCTCAGATGGGGAAGACATCACTGGGCAGCCAGGTCCCCCCAGACCAGCCCTCTGGGATGGCCTCTCCCAACTGCTTGCCTGGGGCTTTTATTTGGCTTGTCAATCAGGCTAAGGCTTATTGTGTTTTGAGCCTCACTTCCTGCCATGAGATCCTTTTTCCCAGAATTGTAGCTCCATGTTTCTGACCTTGGTCTGTTAACCTGACCCTGATTTCTGACGACTTCCTTCTTTGATTAATTGTTCTTGAATCTGGACTCCAATCTGACTATGATTAATTCAACCGTACTGACTTATCAAAAAAAAAAAAAAACCTACAAAAAACAATCATAGGCCTATTCCTTTGATGCAGAGAAAACTAGAGGTCTGCCCTTTTATTATAAACATCCTGGAGAGGGAGATTCTGTAAATCCTCTGGAAATGGTTTTCATGGAGTGTTTCTGTCCATCATCATAAAGACAGTCATTAGCCCCACTTTGTTCATTTACTCTGGAATGTTTATTATAGCTGAATTTTTGATTATGTGGGTTCACAGAGATAATGTAACTCAATTTAACTTATAAGGAAACACCTGCTCTGTATAGGATAACATGCTAGGCTCTGAAGAGGTGGACCCTACACAGTCAGGGAATGTGACAGAGTAATGGCCCCAAAGATGTCCATGTCCTAATTCCAGAAACCTCTGAATATATGACTTTAGAGGAGAAAAAGGACATTGCAGGTGTGATTAAATTAAGGATCTTAAGATGCAGAGATTTTCCTGTATTATCTGAGTGGCCCCATGCAATCACAAGGATCCTTTGGAGGGCCAAAGAAAGAGGAAGTGGTGATGAAAAAGAGTTCAGAGAGAGATCTAGATTTAAAGATGTCATGTTGCTGGCTTTGAGGATAGAGGAAGAAGCCATGAACAAAAGAATGCATACAGCGTCTAGAAGCTAGAAAAGGCAAGGGAACGAATTCTCCCCTAGAGCCTTCAGAAGGAATGCCAAGGACTTCTGACCTCTAGAACTGTAAAATAATTCATTTATGTTGTTTTAAGCCACTAAGCTTGTGATAATTTTTTACAGCGACAGCAGGAAACTAATACAGGAGTTTACCATCTAGGAAGAGAGATATGATAGCACAGGCAACTTGGATATAATTCAGAAAGTGACAAATATAAAACAGAAATACAAAGAAATTACTACAGATGATACAGATGAACTTATTTACAAAACATAAACAGATCCACAGACACAGAAAACAAACTTATTGTTATCAAAGGGGAAAGGGGGGGGTCGATTAGGAGTTCGGGATTAGCCGATACGAACTACTATATATAAAATAAACAACAAGGTCCTACTGAATAGCACAGGGAACTATATTCAATTTTCTGTAATAAACCATAATGGAAAAGAATATGAAAAAGAATATGTATATATGCGTCTAACTGAATCATTTCGCTGTACACCAGAAACACAACACTGTAAATCAACTGCACTTCAATTAAAAATCTTTAAAAATGGAAAAAAAAAAAGAAATTGCTATGGAAATGCTGATAAAGGGAGTACTATAGGCTGGAAAGATTAGGAAAGCTTCCTGGAGGATGGCAGTTATGGTGGGCCCTGAAAGATTGGGTAGGATTTCAAAAGGGGGAGATCCAGTAAACACCAGGAGTAAAGGCACAGAGTTGGAATCAAACAAAAAACTGACCTAGGCCCTTATGATCAGCCCTTTTCTTGGAACAAAAATGGCTTGATTAAAATTTCATACATTCTACTCAGGATATAATAGTCTCTATGTAAAAAAAATTGTAATAACAGTCAATATTATATGAGATAAACTATCTTAAGAGTTTAAATACAGAAATACAGATCTTGGGCATGTCATGGCTCGTGTTCAGATAGGCAGACTTGACAGGGATGAACAGAAATATACTGAGTTGACTGAAATAAGCAAAAAGGCAATTCTTTAAAAAGGTATGGTATCTATTAACAGTTACAAGTTAGACGTTTCTGACGACCTTCGCAAGCAAGCTAAACCAAAACAATGGAATCCAACTGAACTGAATGTACTTGGCAGACTGGAGGCTCTGAGGATTCACGTGGATGTTGATGGCAAAGACACTGGAATCCACTTCCATTTTGGTAGGTTTTGATTGTTTTGTTTGTCTGAAGTCAGAGTCTACGATCTTAAGTAATTCTGAATGGTTCTAATTTAGTCCAGGTTTGATCATGAGGCAATGATCGTGCTAAAACAAAACTTTAAGCCACTCTGTTCTACAAGTTGGAAGGAATGGAATAGAATTGTTCCGATCATTGATCTGCACTACCCAAATTCACCATCAATCGTCCTCTTGGCGCTACCAATAAAGACAATGTCTTCCCAAGATGAGACCTGTACTCAGGTGCCTCAGCAATACTTGCTTTCTTCTTTATCTTCTGGTGAAACTGATGCCTTTTTGTACTGTTCACATTCAATCCAGGAAAATTCAGAGGAACTGCTAGCCTCCACTGGCATGCTCCTGTAGGAGTGCCCTGGAACTTCTGCAGAAGGGTCCACATTCACACCAGAGGCCCTCAAGTCCTGGGATGGAGCTGCATGCTTTGGAGACCAACTTTCTTCACAAGCAGAACTGGGCACATTGCAAGTGCCCTCATTCCTCCCACTCCCTGTCTTTCTGTCAAAGCCCAGGAATGTAACCTCAGACTGGCTGCATTCAAAGGGAGTTTTCTGAGTCGTTCTCCCTTTTCTCCAACCTTTATCATGAGGCAGCGATGGATTATTCTGGTTTTCATCATCTTCCACTGGAATACTTGGTACATTATCGAGGAACAGAGGAGAAGGGCTCCTGAAGGACTTCAAGGATGTGGGAGGATCTTCCGCAAAATACAAGCTGGCTTGAGTACTTTCAAGAACAGTTAGGACCTGATTAACCAAGAAGCCAAAACACATTGGATGAAGTCTGAATAACCTCTCCTTTTACCTTTTTCTTCTGTCTACTATTAAGGAATATTCTCTTATTTTCATGAAATAAATTCAACTATAGAATTTGAAATGCAAAGGAATTAAAGATTAGCTAAACTCCTTCATGTTAAGAAATTAAGTGACTTGAAGCAAAGTAGAAAAGAAATTGATCATCAAGAGACCTGACTTTAGGCCTAGATTTGCCACCAACTACTTTGTGACCTTGGATGAATCTCTTATCATTTTTTACTTCAGCCTTAATATGTGGAGGATTGGAAGGGGTCAGGGGATGGTGAACCCAATCTATAGTTCTCAAATGCCAGACTACCTAGGGAAGCTTTCTTAAAATACAGATCCCTTAGCCCCAACCTAAAGGTGGTCATTAAAAAAATATGGACATGTGGGCCCAGGGATCTGTATTTTAAAAGCTTTGCAGTTGATTTGGATATGCAGCTGAATTGAGAACCATTAACCTGATATAAAATAACATACATTCACACACACACGTAATTTAAAAAATACATATAGAGAGCTTTATAATTTACAAAGTGTTTTCACACACATCACCTCATTTAACCTGCACAAACATTAATATCCTCACTTTATAGATGAAAAGGCTGAGGCTCAGAAAAGGGAATCACTATCGCTAGCCAGTAAGGAGCAGACCTGTTACCTGACCCCACGTCTTCTGGCTCCCAATTTCACGTTCCCTCCATTATATATCTCAAAGCTCCTTTCCGGGCCCAAGAATGCAGGTCACACAGCTCTTACTTGTGGTGTCAGGCCTAGAACACAGCTCTCCTGACTCCCGGGCCAATGGTCTTTATATTCTGATTATGTCAACTCCTTGTTTAAAACCCTTCCATGGCCCTATAATAGACTTAGGATGGAATCCAAATTCCTAGAATGGAATTCATGTCCCTCGATCACCTGGAACCTCCTATTACTTTAAACACGTCCAGCTTTTGCTCTCCACCATCCCACTTCCATGGTGCTAGACTATCTGCAGTCTTGGTGCCAAGGAATCCACTGCACCTCTGAGCCTTTGCAGGTGTAGGTTCTCTCCCTGGAATGTCCTTCCATCTTTAATACCTAAATCCAACCTGTTCTTCAGATCATAGCTCAGCTATCACCTCCATCAAGAAGCTTCCTTGACTTCATAGGCTGGGACGTATTCTGACTCTATGCTCCCATATTGGCCTGCGTTCTCATCCATCATCATGCTTATCTTCTGGTACCAAAACTTCATGTTTATAGATCTGACTCTCCCTTTGGACTGTGAGCTGAAGGGCAGCAATTTAGTATCTTGATCACTGTTGTATCACCAGCACCTAGTCCAAAGTCTGGTACGTGCAAAGCAGGTACTAAATATTTGTTTATTGTAAACAAATAAATGTCTAGATGATTAAATTGATGTACAGATGAGTAAATTAAATTAAATTAAAAAATCAACAAGGGAAATACGTGTTGCATTTAAAAAAAAAATTTGACCGCACCACGCAGCATGTGGACTCTTAGTTCCCCAACCAGGGTTTGAACCCAGGCCCTGGCAGTGAAAGCGCTGAGTCCTAACCACTGGACAACCAGGGAATTCATTGATATTCACATAGATACACAATTTATCCAATTTAGATTTTCCATGGTTCCATGGACTCAGTTTTTAAAAAAACCATGGGTATACATACTTCATCCATCGAGGGTCTTAATTTTGCCCGTGTTGCAGCACACCGGCCTGCCAAAGAGAACAGCTTGGCGGAAAAATTCCGAGGACAGGGATGTACTTTCTTATCTAGAAATGAGATACATGAATCGAGGCCTCTCTTCTCCAGCAATTCTATAAGGAGATCCCTCTAGGAAGAAAAGGAGACAACCTCATCACTGAGAACTCAGAATCTATCCGAAAAGTGACCAAGAAATAGGCACAGAGATGAAGACAATTCTTACCAGCTGGATATGCTTTGGCTCATCTAACACCACTTTACAACCTGTCAGAACTTCCATTATTACCTACAAGGAACATATAGAAAGTCAGCTACATAATATTAACATTATACACATAGTAATAATTACTAAATTATTATAAATATTACAAATATTAAATATATACACATAATTAGTCGTGACTATTAACCTCAATGCTGAATACAGTTCATTCTAATTAATGACTTTACATTTCATTACTTGATTGATTATACAAAATTAATGTATAAGACAATGAGTAACAGAAAATCAATAGGTCTAAAAGCTAAAGCCTTTAAAATAATTCTTGGAATTTAGTGTATTCTTGGCAACAAACACTTCGACTTTGTTAACTCGTAGTTGGTACTTACAATTCCAAAGCTGTAGACGTCTGTTTTAACAGAAAGTTTGCCCTGTCTGATATACTCTTCTGGCATGTACCACAAATGCTTACTGCTGCTGCTGGTCATGCTTATGACAGAGCTCTGAGGTTCTAGGTGGGGCCGGATGTGTGCCATGGCAAAATCAGTTAGTTTGGGTTGAAACTGATCATCCAGAAGTATGTTTGCACTGAAATTGTGATCAAGGGCAAACAAGACAAAAACATCATAAAGGTATTTCGAAAACAGGGCAAGCTCACCATTATATCTGATCAATTCCAAGTAAAACCATATGTTATTTTCCATGAACTTTTTAAAGGACATTTTCTCGTTTTTCTTAAAGTATAAATCCAAGTGTTGTATAAAACCTAAAACAAAAACCTGACCTAGGAACAGCAGGCATTTCAAATTTACAGGCACATATATGGAGTTGGTGGATAAAGCTGATGCTTTGTCAACAGGAGAAACTAAAGTTAACCAAAGCAGCTTTCCTTGTGTTCTTCTTACATGCATGTAATGAGAACATTAACTGAGTTTTAATCAGATTATAATTAAGTGTCTGATGTGCACAGGGCTGTGCTGTGGAATGCTCGGCTTAGAGCTACTGCTCTGCAGTAATTTGAGGAATCTTTGGTAGCCCCTGCCTTCCTAATAACCCTATTCCGTTGTTCCACCTCTATGGATTTTTTGTCTTTGAGTCTTTTTTAAAATATAAATACCTGCAGAGGCAAAGGCAAAGTACTCAGAGTCAGTTTTAGCTGCTTGGCACATAAACACCTCAACAGTCACTTAACACATTAGCTGAGAATAAGCAGCAACTTCTTTTATCTTTGAAGGGTGGTCTTAGCAGGGATGGGAAATGATAAGCTTTTCACAGGGCACACACCTGGGAGCAAGTCCCAGCTCTGCCTCTTCCTGGCTCTGTGACTGCCGGTGGGTTACATCACCCTGTAAGCCTCAATGTCATCTTTCCTCACATGTGAAATGAGGAAAAAAATAGAACTCACAGAACTGATATGGGGCATATAGATAGCCTGGCATACAGTAATGCTCAATACTGGTAGCTGAGATGAAGATTAGCAACCCCTCATAAGACAGCAGATGGACATTGATAAAAGAGGTAGGTGGATCGGGAGAAAGCCATCTACTTTTCCACTTTACTTAGGGCTATCTAGAGCTTGCTTTTCGTCCCCTGAAACCAAAGCTTCCAACAGTAGGCCTGCCCATCCAAAATGCCACATGGGGTATTTGTAGTAAAAGTGGGATATAGGATAAGAAGAAGAAATTCTTAGTCTAGAACAAATATTGGATCTTATGAAAGTTCTAGAAATTCTTGCTGTCCCTATACAAGTAGGCCAACAGGCAGACCCTAGTTCTAAGGTCTGAACTACAGGTCTTATTATGATTCAGAGTATTGAGTCCTAGTTCTATTTAGAGGGTTGGATGCTAATGTCTTGAGAATTCTAGTCCAGACTTTGTCTAGGACTGAGTTGACAACAGACAAAATGATGGGACTCCCCAGGGCCCTTTAAGGATAGAGAAAGATGTGCTCTAAACTTTATTTCACTCTCCCTCCTCTAAAGGTGGCAGGAGAGTTTCAAGGTCCAAAGAGCCCACCTTGTCCATAAGCTGAGGGCCTTTACTTGTTGCACGATCCTTGTACCTACAAGGAGAAAGTCAGAGAAGGCCTGGCTCTCTAGACTTGTATCAGTAAGCACAGTCCTCATTATTCTCCTTGCCTGGTCTTTTCTCCCCAGATATTTCAAACCTGGCAGTTTCTGAGGCCAGATGGGGTCTCACACAGCACACCATCTATGTTACTCCTTACCTGGTCTCCCACTTTCTCAGTTGGAGAACAGTGGTAGCTATCCTGAACCTCTGAATGTGGGGAATACATTAGAGCCAGACCCTACCTTCAACCCAGCTCTAGATAAGAACAGACATTTAGCTCTTAATGACTTCTTCCACAGGTGTACACTTCATTTGTTCAGATCAAGGCTGGGGCTTCCAGAGATGCCCTGATCATTTCAGAGTCCCGGGGTATTTAATGCAGGAGTTTGCCAGGTGTGCCAGGAGGTGAGGTGGGCAGAGAGTTTCATTAACTCTCATTACCAGGACCCAAGCTTCTGCCACCCTGAGAGCCTGGCTCTCTTCTGCCCCGCTGCCCTACCACTGCCCCCCACCCCGCTTTATTTCAGCATAAGAGGAGGACAGCAAAGATCTGAATGCCAGAGCTTAAAGGTCAAACATCTCACCCGCTTCTTCCTTCACCCTAGCCTTAAGAATGGTATAAAACCATAACTTAAAAGAGAATGCAAAAAGTTGAACTGGTGAAACGGAATCCCTGAAGAACAGGTCTTTTCTACGTACAAAAGGTCTTTTCTAACTACAAAGAAACACCACCGCTCATAATCTAATCCATTATTTGATCCTCAGAGAAACTGGGGGAGTTTTCAGCAACTGGTGACTCATGCTTCTGTAAGAGGCAGAGGTGAGCTGAGTAACCACAGCGTTACACAGAGTTACACATTAGAGGACTTTGGGTTACACAGAGGACTTTGGGTCAGTGAGAAGCCATCAATAAGAATGTGAAATTGTTCCAGGGCACTGCATTTACACTTTGAATAATGAAAGTGTGAAGACAAATCGCTTACCAGCAGACTTTAGTGTACAACATAAATTTTGAGTCCAGTGATTTACTCTGTTCTAAATAAAGGTTAATGGTAGCTAAAGAAGGATGCTCTCTTTTAGGAAAGTGGGAACTGCAAAAGGCCCTTCAACAGTCAATTGTACCTGAATTCTCTCCCCTCCTTCAACCTCAAATAGAATGTGCAAACATAAGGTGCCGGGCTTCCCTGGTGGCGCAGTGGTTGAGAATCTGCCTGCTAATGCAGGGGATGCGGGTTCGAGCCCTGGTCTGGGAGGATCCCACGTGCCGCGGAGCAACTAAGCCCGTGAGCCACAGCTACTGAGCCTGCGCGTCTGGAGCCTGTGCTCCGCAACGGGAGAGGCCGCGACAGTGAGACGCCCGCGCACCGCGATGAAGAGTGGCCCCCGCTCGCCGCAACTGGAGAAAGCCCTCGCACAGAAACGAAGACCCAACACGGTCAAAAATAAATAAATAAATTAAAAAAAATAAAAATAAAATAAAACATAAGGTGCCTTCAGTTACCTTGCAGGTCAACTGAATGCATTCACCCTACAGGAGTAAAAACAGACTAACAGAACAAAGACAACATAAAATAACTAAAATCACGTAACAACAGAATGCAGCAAACAGATGAGAAACATCCAATGGCCCACGCCTTCAATTTAGTGCTTCTACCACCTATTTCTTCTCTTCTCTCCCACAAGGCTACTTACTGTAGCAGAGAGACCACCATCTCTCTAGATAACTCTTCTAGCAGAAGGACTAGTAGTGGTACATTAAGGTGATGGGGAAAATCCCACACAAAGTGGTGAATTCGTATTCTGATTCTGGGGATGTTACTTCATCTCTCTATTGCTAGGGGTCTCTAGGACAACTCTTTTTGGGTACCTTTGGCTCACGTTGTCTCCTAATTTAAAGCTGAAGCCCTTGGGCCTTAAATATAAAGCAAGATGATACACCTAGATTGTAATGCAGGATCTGAATTTAAGTGCAAATATGTTTGACATGTAAGCGCATGACTGGTTTTTAAAAATCTGTATCTATATTTTGATTTTAGGGGGAGTTGTTGGTGCTCAGTAGCTCAGTCCCTGAATACCTGGCAACTCTCAGGAAAAGTCTAGACTTCACTTAATTGGCCCCAGAGATAAAGAGCACCCAACTGGCTCTCCATGACAGCCTGAGGCAACAGGACAGCTTGCTGTCTGTGTCACCGCTGTTGCAACACTAAGACACCCCTCACCAGATGTCTTGCAAGACCCAGTTTCTCCGACAATCTGCAGATTACTAGAAAAAGGCATACACACCCTCTCCCACTTCAGCATGCAGTGTATCTGGCCTCAAATGATGCCAAGTATTATGGCTTGTTCTTGCTTTATTGGTGTCTTCTGAGTCCTAGGCCCAGACGATAAGGGGTCTTCCTCCTTTAAATGTGAAATTTCGTCTCTGACCAAACTAGCCCAACTTCCCTGAGCCTCAACTTCCTTGTAGGTAAAAAGATCTGATGATGCTTACCTCACAGGATTGTTACAAGGACTAAATGAGAAAACATAAGCAGAGTGCCTGATGCACAGGGAGAGAACATGCTTTCAAGGATGTAGTCTGGCCACTGTCCATCCTATACCCACCACCTTACCTTAAAATCCTACAGAACTTGGTTAGGTGTCTCTAGAAGTTCAAGGACACCAATTTGATGTAACAGAGGTACAGAGGGTTGCAGGATAACCCTGGAGATCTGAACACCCTTGAGTTAATCAGTTTCAAGGCATCAATTGTGTTTCAGAACAGTTCCAGAGGACTTCTGGAAGAACCTGACTAAACTAATATTCCCAGATATTTTAAGACCATGGAGAGAAAAATATACACATTGTTTGGTATGTATGTGTGCATGCATGTATGTATTCCTGTATATAAATAAATGAACATTGGGGTTTAGAGACAATAGTGGTAAATAAAATTAATAGGGAAAATTTTAATTTACATAATATTTGTTTTGGCATTCCTTAGAAAACATGAACATATTTGGATATTTTAGAAGAAGGCAGGCACGAGGGGGAAAATAGGAAAAATCTGAAGAAAAAGAATTGCTGTATCTAAAATGTCTCTGAAAAACAAAAGTAGTTTTTTTTGGCAGGGGAGGGGGGTGACGTCAGACAGGGGGGAGACTGGTTAATTAAACCATCAATCAAACAAACATTTGCATTCCCTGCATTTTCGGGCCCTGCTAAACGCTGAGCTGGAGCCCGGTGGCCTCACCACACACCTCAGGTCTTGGGGGCAAAGGCAGGAGGAGCTTGGGCCCATGGGCAAGGGTGACGCAGTCACACTGAAGGAGCCCATGTGTGGCTGCCCGCCCTCCTTCCCAGCTACTCAGTCTTTCTAGTCCCTCACACAGGAAATTCCCTACGCACTTACTACGGCCATATATATTTGATCAATTTCCATTTTTAAAAAAATTCATTTTTAAGCAGATGGCTTCTTCCTTCCTTTCTTTCCTAGACCACCTCCCTCGTATGAAAGACCGTTTCACTTGGCAGGAGACA